TCGTGAACTCTTGCAAAGTGTGCATTGTCCACAAAAATAAGTTGCAAAACCCATATGATGGGGGAGGCATTGACTAAGCCGGTCCCTTTGAAATCCGCAACTACACAGGGCGGGCGTTCCTTATCACCAAGGAGTATGTGAGCGTATGTGTTTCGCCACGAAGGCTATTCATTTGGAGTCTACGTCCGACCTCACCACCGAAAAGTTTCTCGCTGCCTTCGCTCGTTTCGTCTCGAGACGAGGCTGTCCACAGAGTATCCACTCCGATAACGGCAAAACCTTTGTGGGCTCAGCCAAAGTGCTGGCCAAGGATTTCCTAGAAGCATTCAAGGACTCTGTGATTGATGCGTATAGTCATCAAATGGTCTCGTGGAAATTCATCCCACCAGGGGCCCCACATATGGGGGACTTTGTCTTGATGCTCTTCACTCCGGCTTCCCACAAAGCCACGTCCACTCGGAGCTACACCTTCGAGGAGCTCTCCACGCTTCTCTCGAAAATTGAGGCGTGCCTTAATTCCAGACCGCTCTTGAAGATGTCCGAAGATCCGAAGGAGTTGCTGGCCCTAACTCCCGGGCATTTCCTTACGGAGGGGCTCTTAATGGCGACGGCGGAGCCAGAAGTTGAGGGTGACCTCACGTCGATCATAAATCGATGGGAACATCTGAAGGCACTTTGAAGGCAAATTATTGATATGGTCGTCGTCAAGGAGGACAACCTTCCGTCTAATGAATGGCGTCTCGAACGAATCCAGTCCGTGTACCTCGGCGCTGACGATCGGGTCCTTGTAGTCGACATCCTCACTGCACGGGGGGTCTTCAAAAGGCCGGTCGCAAAGGTCGTTCTTCAGTCCGTAGAACCTCCTCGCTCCATCCAACATCCAAGAGCGTGCGTGTCCCCCGCTTCCTATCCCGTTACTAACCCTTCTCCGAATCTTTTTTTTTGTTCTTCTTCTTTCGCCATAGTTTTCCGTACTCAGAGATGGATCCACGGTCTCGTGACACCCGAGCACTTCGGAGAGTAGACGTTCTCGAGGTATTAACTCTTACCGCTGCCGAGTCTGCTCCGGAATCTATCCGCTCCGTGTCTGCCGACGCTTTCTTCGCCTGAACGCCGAGAAGAGAATCCGAGACGTCTTGATTAACAAGTACTGCGCTAATTGCCTGGCTCATCAGACCTCCGGCAACGACTGTCGTAGTACCAAGGACTGCAAGGTGTGCGGCGGGAGCCACCACACGCTACTCCACATCCGTGCGTCCCAGCGTTCAGGCCGCGCCGGCGCACCAGCCCCTCCTGCGGCTCTAGCCTCTCGCGTTGAAAGCCGCCGCCGTCTCCCCGAAAGCCGCCCTGTCGTGGAAGATCGGCACCATCCGTTTCTACGCTCCTCCAGAACCGGCGCGTCAACATTCTCCCGACGGCCCTTGTGGTCTTAGATACGGGTTCCAGAACCTTTGAGACGGCGGCTCTTATCGACCCTTGTACCCCAGTGAGCAGCATCGATGAGTCGTTGGCCATCGCCTTCAAACTGCCCTCCACGCGGGTTGGCACCGAAAAGGTGTGCACGACGATGTTCCGCCCCAAGAGTGGCAACATTCAATTGGACGCCGTTCTGAAGGTCGAGCCCCGCCTGCGCATCCGCAAGCCACTGCGTCCCGTGAGCGAGACGGTGCGTACCCGTTTTGACGACATTCGCCGCGCCGACGAGCGCTTCCATCCACGATCTTCCTCGTGCTAGGAGCCGACGTTTACCAGAAGGTAATCCAACCCGGGTTCCTCGCCCTAGGAGACGGGCTTCCCGTGGCTCAAAGCACCGTGTTTGGATGGATTGTGTCCGGGGCGTGCATTCAGCCATAGAGGTTTCCATTGCAGTCCTGCAAGGGGGGGGGGGGGGGGGGGGGGGGGGGGGGGGGGGAGGAAGTTGAGAGTAGCAGCCGGAGCTCGCTCTCACTCCCTACCGTCTCCTTCTCGCCTGGCGCTCGCGAGCTGGCAGGCAGCCAGCCGCTAAGCTGTTGTCAGTATACTACCCACCCCCGTACATTCCGGTACACGCGAGTTGATACTGAACGAATTCTACATCCATACATACACAAAACACATACTTTTCTACACCCGCACCGTTTCGAGTGCACAATAAACCACCATTATATCGAATATACGGTTCCTTTTCATTTCGGGACGCTTGGACCTTCCGAGGAGTTTATCTGCAGCGACAGGAAGCCGCCCTACTACGAACATGATGTATCCCACAGAAGTATTTGTTATGGAAAGGATCTTGCAGCCTTGCGGCTTTTGCCGTCTCCTCGATCTCAGTACAAAATATTTGCCAGGAGGCTCTTTTCGCTTATCTAGTTTCTTTTTTGTATAGAGCAAGGCTGGTCATGTAGTTTGGCTTTATTAAAATTTGCCCTGCACCTTCTACGCAGCCTTGAAGGCTTTGTTGCATGCCTCCGTGAACCTATTTACAAGACTGTTAAGGTCGTCTCTTGCATGTTGGTGCTGTTGGGGGAAGAAGGGTTTTAGAATATATCTCCCAGTTGGCTTTTCTGGGGTTGATGTAACTATTAGCTTCTAGGACTATCCAGCTCTTAATTAAGCCCAGTATGCTATGGGACACTAGGGTGAGGTCTATGACCTCCTGTCGGTTCTTTATAATAAACGTAGGGTCGTTTCCCTGATTACATAAGACCAGATTTGAGTTTAAGATGAAGCTGAAAAGTGACTCACCCCTTACATTTATGTCCGAGCTTCCCCAATGGGTATGGTGAGCGTTGGCGTCGCAGCCTATCAGTAGGCCTGTGTTTGACCTCTCGCTGTCGCTGGCAATCCTGCGGACAAGGTCGCTGGAAGGGTCACTATGGTCGTGAGCCATGTAGGACGGCACCACTCTGAGGTGTGCCCTTGCAGCTTTAAGATGTGAAAGCGAAAGATGTGATTTCCAGCTAATATGCAGGTACGAATTTTACCTTCCTTTGGTGCTACAATCAGCTTGTAGTCCTTCGTCGCTAATCCACAGACCTTGTCTCCAACCACCCAAGGCTTCTGGATTAGGACTACGTCGCCTCCGCTCGATTCTAAGCGGAGTAAGAGGGCAGCTGTTGTTGCTTTACAGTGGTGGAGATTTATCTGAAGAAGCCTCAGAGGGCTCCCTGAATATCTCCACCAGCGTATTGTCGGCACATTGCCTCGAACTCGAGCATCAGCTCTGACTCTAGGGAGTCACCTTCGTGGGCCAACTCCAGCTCGTTGTCGGGTGCTTCGATCTCCGAGGCAACATCCTGCTCGACTGGGTTGTCGACAGAACGCGCGCCCGGCCGCTGCATCCGACTTATACACCTTTATGGTGACGGAGCTGAACCCGAAGTTGAGGTCTCCTTTGGCTGCCTCCATCGGGGCCAGCGACTCCTTGTTAATCACGACCCCTTATTTCGTGGGGCCCTGCGTCGCTTCAACTTTAACAACCTTCCAATCTGCTGATGGGTTGCATCGCTGCAACATCAGCAGGATGCGTTCTGGCTCTTTTGTAGAAGCCGGCACCCAGATTCTCGCCCTCGGTCTACTGGGCACTTCGCTCCAGTCGACTGCGGCTAGTTTCGCCCCTGGGTATACTTCCTCAACTTACGCTACCTCTGCTTTGTACAGCTGCACGGAGCGCTCGTATGTAATTAGTTTTGTTTAAATCCATGAACTGTTTTGGTAGTCTGCCAAATACTAGTTCGTATGTACAATATTCATGCGTTTCTGGTGGTGTTGTGTTGAAGCAATACGTGAAGTATTGAATCCAGACATCCCAATCTGTTTTGTCTGCAGAGATGTATGAACGAATATATTCATTGAATATTCGGTGACTTCGTTCTATTGTCCCTAATGTTTGATAATGATATGCAGTAGAGGTGAGATTCTTGATTTTCATATACATATATTCTACGGCTCGGGCAGGCCTTTGGGCAGTGAAAAGCCGCTCAGTCTCGAACTCCCTCACATGAATTCCTTCCCCCATCGATGGGAGACAGCCACGCCCCTCCCCCTCCTATAGCTAGCTCGAAAACACGCTCAATCTTCTATTCTTCTGGTATTCTTCCACCACCATCCTTGGCATGTCTCAAGCATGAATTTATGTGGGTACGCCCCATACCTCCTGTATAAATTCAAACGAAACTTAGGGAGTTAGACATACTAAAGGCCAAAAGAGTGTACACCGTTTTCGTTCAATATATATTTTTAGTAGGATAGTGTTTAAACACTGTATTTTGTACTAGTATACAATTTTTTATAAACAGCAGTTTTAATATTGTAAATTCAAAATTTGTAAATATATTTTGAAAATCATTTTTTAATGATACCTTTACGCTACTTGACTTCTTACGTTGATGATAATTCACGTGTGAACATGATTCTTGGCGATGACCAACGTCCTCTACGTGGGGACTCTTCGATACTGTTGGCTCCAAAAATAAAGCTCAGCAGTGGTTACGAGATGCCCGTTCTAGGATTTGGAACTTATAAGGCAAACATTCTACACAGGAATATAAATTAAATTAATAAATATATATACATATTTGCAGCTGAGCGGTTTCCAATGCTTATCAGCAGTACATTGTGCAGTAGAAACTGGCTTTCGTCACTTTGACACTGCATATTCATATGAAAACGAAAAGGATGTAGGCGATGCTCTTCGTACTCAAATTAAAATGGGAAACATATCTAGAGAAAATATTTTTTTGACCACAAAGGTAAATTAATATAATTATTTATATATTCCTATAAGTACCAATACTAAAACCATGTTTTTGAAAGTTGTGGAACACTCATCATGATCCTCGGGATGTGCGCCGAATTTGTGAGCAGCAACTGAAACTGCTGGGATTTAACTACATCGACCTATACTTGCTTCATTTTCCTGTGGGCTACAAAAATATGTGTGATGAGATTCTGAAGCCAATATCTGAGGGTAAATTGCAGACAAGGTAAATACTTCTGGAGAGAATGAATACATTGAGGGCATATAATAGGTTTCCTCACATTCAGCGACGTTGATTATATAGACACATGGAAAGCTATGGAGGAACTCGTGAAACTAGGCTTGGTTCGCAGCATCGGGTTATCGAACTTTAATATGGAACAGGTACAGCGTATCATTCAATGCAGTTCCTCAAAACCAGTGGTAAATCAGGTAGAAATCTGGCCTGGTTTTTTGCAAAAAGATTTGGTTGACTATTGTCACTACAACGGAATTGTTGTAACAGCGTATTCACCTCTTGGCCAGCCAAATAGAGAAAATCATAGACCAACATATTTCTTTTCGGAGGGCATGAGGAGATTAGTTACGAAGTATAAGAAAACATCTGTTCAAATAGTATTGCGTTTTTTGGTAATAACATTCAGCTTTATTAGGGTTAAAGACACATAAAAATCATTGAACTTTTGTAGGTGGACTACGGAGTCGTTCCTATTCCAAAATTGGCTAATCCTTTTCAGATAAGTCAAAGTTTAAATATATTTGACTTTAAGCTGGACGATACAGATACCCGTGCATTACTTGGAATAAAGTCAAAAAAACGAATTGTAAAATATGACTTAGCAAAAGATCACCCATTTTACCCTTTCGAACGGGAAGACGAAAGTTAATATCAAGATATATATAACCCTTAAAACATAATACTGACACAGAAAAAATGTGATTCGACATCAAATGAAGGTAATCAAGATGATGAGTAGAACTGGTATCATTAATAACTTAATTAAATAGCACAATTTTTACCATTAAAATGTACTTAAACTTTTTTTAGCATATTGATTCTGTAAACCATTCTCTTCTTGCACAAAAGCTCCACCTTTTAGGGTTTCCGCCCAATATTTTGAGATGGATTTCCAGGTACCTGTGTTCTAGGTCTCAAAGTGTACTTTTTAAAAACTCCTTATCTTTACCTGTTATGGTTTCTTCTGGAGTACCACAGGCTAGCCATTTAGGCCCCTTACTTTTCACACTCTTTATGAATGACCTGCCTTTTGTATTAAAAAATTCTCGAAGTACTTATTTATGCGGATGGTGTTAAGCTCTGCGTCCAGAGTAAGGACATTTAATTTCACTCCCGCTTGAAATCAGATCCCAACCCACCTTAATGCCTCGAAGTGCAAAGTAACGAATTTTCACCGCTCCAGCCCCTTACTGGCTCCTTACACCCTCTGCGGTAGTTCTCTGGAGAGAATTACATTAGTTGATGATCTTGGTGTTAAACTAGGAATTTGATGACCCCTATATAACGAAGACTCGCTATATCTCGCTTGATCGTCCGATTTTAGAATACGGCTCATGTGTATGGTGCCCTCAGTACAACATACATCAGGACCGTATTGAATCAGTACAGAAAAACTTTTTTTATTTGCCCTACGGGGCCTCAACTGGGATGCAACTGTGAGACTGCCATCCTACCATAGTAGATTACTTCTAATAAACCTTCCATACTTAGTTAGTCGTAGAAAAATTCGTTATGTAATTTTTATGCACAACTTGATCAAGGGGTGTGGACAGCCCTGACCTGTTGAGCGGCATAAACTTTACGATTCCCTTTAGACCCACTAGAAACTTTATTCCTCTGTTCCTTCCACTATGTATGCTCGGATTATAATTCCCTCTATCACATTATATCCTCCACGAACTCCCTTCTTCTTCTTTTTAAATCTCTTATACCAGCCTACCTCTCCCGTTGCTAGTTAAATTTTAGTTTTGTTTTGTTTCTGAGTTTGTTAATTTTGCTGGCTTAGCTATAGTCGCTCTAGTTTAGTTGTGTTTAGCTCTAATTTTCCTGGAATATTAGCCTAACATCTATCTTTCCTGCATGCTCGCGTGTCATGCGGCAGCGCCCCTCGGTCGGTTGGGCGGCACACATACATACATCCATCCATCCATCCAAATCCATACAATTCTACACCCGCGCCGTTCGAGTGCCTAATAAACCGCCGATATATATATATTATCCCTATACTGTGTCGCCTATTTAATTTCGTGCTTTTCCGAGGATTTATCTGCAGCGACAGGAAGCTGTGAAGCTCTCCCACAAACAAAGGGGGAGTGTAGTGCCGGATCTTGCAAACTCGTCTGCTATGCAGTTGCCTGAAATGTCCTGGTGTCCCGGGACCCTTGTTAGGCTAATAACATATTTCCCTGCCATCTCATGTAGAGCTTTGCGACAATTTGCCACTGGAAGGCGGAATGAATGCCTCATATTTAGTTGCCCGGAGTAGATTCCTCCGCCAACTTTGTTGTCTAGTTTGGATTCATCTTCAAAGATGTTTATGGGGCCCTTTGGGCCAGATGTGCCCTCGACCCATTCCTCTCTTCGACGACCAAAGTCACGAAATTAATAAAGATGTTGCCACTCCATGTGGCAAAAATGACGACAACACCAATATAGAATGTTTGTACTGGATAAGAATCATGCCGCCGATTTCTTTTACACTGCTTATTCCATCGAGATGGGCGACAATCGACATACCACACGATAGTTTATGAAATATAGATAGTTAATTGAAATGAAATAGCTATTGCTAAAAAATATCGATAGCAGGCTGGGGGCAGCTGGTAGAACCTGAATAATATCACTAACCAAATAGTATTTGGTAACTATTTGGTTAGTGATAATATCATGGTTTTCTGCCATTTTACAAGCGCCACAAGAAGCTCACAATCGACATACCACACGATAGTTTATGAAATATAGATAGTTAATTGAAATTAAATATCACCAACAGAGGCACTACTAAAGTTTGGGGATGGGGTTGGGGAGTGAAAGAGTGAAAGCGATCGGACGAGTTTATTTTTCCTCCAGCGAAAAGACAACAAGTGAGAAGAAGGTGCTGAATCTCCGTTCCGGAAGAGGGGAGGAGAGCTGATTGCTGATAGTGGTGGGGAGCGCAGGTGAGCTTGCATATATCGATATATCGATACTCCGCCGTCAGCAGCTGTCACGTAGCAGATATCTGCAAGATCGCAAAGGGGATAAGGTGCCGCAAAGTTACAAATTCTTCAGGCCAAATTTCTAGACTTGGAAAGTCTGCACAACGGCCAGTCGGGGACAGGGGAGAGGCGGTTTATCACCCATCGTGAAGCCACGTAGCCACGTATGGATACGGGAAACCCGTTCGTGGGCAGATCGGCGCAGGAAAGATCGCCGCGCCAACTGCCGGAAGAAGGGAAGGAAGCTGATGTTTCGGTGTTCGTGAAGAGAAACAATCTCATCCGATCACCGGTACTCCAGACAACGCCAGCAGCAGCTCTGAAGTTGACCCCAAAGAGACTCCCAAAACGGTTCGGGACCCCGCAAGCCCGGCGAGCTCGCAAAGATCGACTCCGCCAAAAAAGTGTAAGGCATCGCAGGATGCTACCGGTCAGCAGAACCTAGCGGAGATGGGTAGACTTCTGGAAGAGATTACCGCTCGGATGCTGGACAAGAGCACGCGCCATGTAAACGAGGCGACCAGAACCCTGTTCAGCGGATACAGGATACATACAGGATGCAAACCAGGCAGCCGCAGCGGGTATCAGGGACATGCAGGAGGGCGCGGAGGGCGTAGTCCTGTGCTCGAAATGCGCACAGAGCACTCAGAGCGCGGACAAGGAGCAGCAGACAACGACCGTCTGGAAGAGGGATGCCGCATCGCAAACCGAGCCGTGGCGAAGGCTAAGCCAGCCTGTTGTGTCGGATGGCCCTGTTGGGGAACAGGCTCCCACGCTTATGCGCCCAGCAGGTCGCAAAGGCTCACCCAAGAAGCAACAGAAGAAGGCCCAGATAAAGCCACACGAGGAGAAGGCGACGCACAATGCTCCCAGCCAACAAGAGAGACTCGAAAACCATGATAGCGGGTGGAGGGTAGAGGCCAAGACGCGGTCGTAGTGCGTACAGCGAGGTTCTGGCCATGGTGACCAGGAGGGAGAACAACCAGCTGTCGGACCTGGGAAGCTGCGTTTCCAGGGTACGCCGCACCATCAACGGCAATCTTTTGCTATAAGTTGTGAAGGTTGCAGACCAAAAATAAAATTTATAATGCCTGTACTAAAATTGTATTAAGACAATTTTTTTTTTTGAACAGTCTTTCTTATTTTATCGCAAAAATATTGAACCTTCCTTACTGTACATGCATTTCATAGAGCAACATTCAAGATCAGAAGCTTTTATCTCGAAAAGCTCTCTCTCTCTCGAAAATCTTAAGTGCGAGCGCCGCTCACATGCAAGCTTTTTACCCCGCAAGCATAGCTTACGGCTAGCCCATAAAGCAACTATATAACGAGGTCTCGTCGGGAAAAATTATGGAAACGTGCGAGTGAAAAGTGCGAGTGAAAGAAGGGCTCTCGCTGTAAGTGTGACGTTAACGACAATGGAGTGTGCTGATTAATCATTTGAAGGCAATGTTAAGAAACACGAGTTTAGTTTGTTTTACAATTTAACTAGCTGACCCGGCGAACTTCGCACCGCCTAACAGTCAATGAATGTCGTGTTACTTTTTATATGAACTAATTAAGGCTTTGATGAACGTAAAACAATGATACAAAATAATATGTTTATATAGATAGAAACAAAAAAGTACCAACTTGATAGCGCGTGATTTCATCGTTGGTATCGGATGTTTGGATACCAAAAACCGCCATGTCGCTTCCTTTCGTGACATATTTGCAAATTTATTTAATTGACTTGACCGAATTGCAATCACTTGGCATGCGCTCTAAAGCAGTCTTGAACAGCCTGACCAATGCATGATGTTCATGAATCATTTGCTGTAGATATTGGAGAATTGCTCTTTTCGTAGCTGTGTTGATACCTTGACGCCTGTCAAGTTGTTCTTCCATATTGCCCATATTGCAAGAATTTATGCTGTGCATCCTCTATAGGTTGCAGGCAAGCACTTTGTGGTAAACGACATTCTTTGTTTTTTGGTTTCGGGAATTGAATTCGCTTAAACTCAAAGGGCATATCCGTTGGGATCATCGGAATTATTGGAATAAGAACTTCCTCATCTTTAAATTTTCCTTGAAGTATCGACGCGTGAATCACATTGCTCATCAGTTTTCTTATCACCAAACGCGTTCCATTGCACAGTTTTGGTTGGTTTAAATTTCTAAGCATGATGACTACCGAGCCAACTTTAAGTTTTAAATTGTGCGGTGGTAACCCAGGCACATCCAAGGAGTTTAAAAATTCAGTTGGATACTTAGTGGCTTCTTCTTTGTTTGTTACACAGTCGAAAGATTTGAATAAATATAGAGTACCTACGATTTGATTTTGAATTATAAGATTGAGGTCATCTACATCTTTATTTTTAGGGGCCAAAATTGCTCGCTCACTTAACCATTTAGTATTTTTGGGGTTAGCAATGATATCCGCTGCTCGATTCAAACCATTTCTTCTTGCACTTCGATGATTAGTCATCTGTTCTTCTGTACGATAAGCTCGACGATTTCTCTCTCTTTGTTTTTGTGTTTGAGAAGCACGAATTAAGGCCCTTCTTTGCTCCATATTAACGCGGCGCTGTTCTCGTGCAATTTCAAATAATTGACTCGCGATATTCTGTTGCCTAATTGCATTACGGCTTCGCTGGGAAAGATTGGATCTTCTAGGACGCGGCATTGTTATTAAAATGATAAATACAAAATGAAACAAATAAATAAAACAAATATTAAATATGATTTAGCAATATAAATGAACAACAAATGAA